AACTCAATGGAAGATGGAAAACTTCCTATCAAGGTAAGATTCATGAAATCAAAAGTCCATGTTGTTCACTACCTCCTCACAAGGATCCTCTTCCCAAGGAACGAAAACCTAAACTTCGTCATCAAGAATGATGTCATCCCTATTTGGCTTCTAACCGAAAAGTTCCAAACTAATTAGGTTGAAGGCATACTTCCTCATAGGATCCATTACAAACAAACTCAATCATCAAGACTTTCATATGGGGCACTAATCAATCAACTCCTTGGTGCCTCTAAAGTTGATACTATATGGGGAAGCAGTTGAATCATCCAACAACAAGATTGATTACTCCTCACTCAAAAAATGTAGATTCACGTCCAACATGGATAATTAAGACACAATTCAATAAATGAATAAGAAGACTTTGAAGAATTTGATAACATAATAATAAACAACATTATGGAGATGTGTCAGCAAAATGGTCTAGCCATACACAATATGTCCAAAGATATTGCAGAGATCAAGAAGAGAATCTCAAGGAATGGTTATACTTATGGAAAAGAATAGTATCACATATGTGTTTTAGTCTTTAAATGTGTTTTGTTTTCATTTTTTTTCATTATTTATTAAATTCCTATAACTTCCCTGCTTTCGGTACTTTAAGTTCTAGTATAGTTTGAACCAATGAAGTGTGTTTGTTTTCTCTTCCTAAATGCCAATGTAATTATATGCTTGCATATTTAAAGTTCTGCCTTGCATATTTTACCCGCCTTTTTTATTATGACAAAGGGGGATACGTATACTTTCAGAGAGAGTAAAGTATATTCTCTACTCATTAGAGAGGGAGTCTAAATACTTCATTTTTACCTACCTGTTTTTTTTTACCACTCTCTGAGAGATGTGTTGTCATCATAAAAAAAGAGAGAATATGCAACTATGTGCTTATAGGTTTAATTAAGATTTGATCAAAGATAAGCAAGTCATACTTATAATGGTTTTGATGACGACAACTATTATTTGATGATAACTTTTAAAGATGTAATCTGACTTTAAATTCAAGAAACTGTCTCAAGCATTCAAAAATGCATAACAAAGTTCAAGGTCTTTCTATGTATAAACCCGAAGAGTTAGGGTTTAATGATCACCTTTGATATCCTCTAATAATGGAATCCAACTTGAAGATATATCAAGCCTCATATCCAGAGAAGATTCAAACAAGTGCTTATATAATTGGTGTATTCAGCAAAGTCTTGAAGCTTATGAGTATGAAAGATAAGGAGTGTAAAAGCTTGTCTCATTGTGTCTGAATGATCAATGTTTTGTAAAAACACAAGGACATTTTCATAAAGTATTATGGATAAATCCTACACTCACTTAAATATTTTTTATATCCTCGATTTCTCAAAGAAAATAACACAAAAATGTTTTGGAGTCTAGTAGGATGGATTGGAAACTATCATAATGATTATGACATGTATTTTGAATTGTTCAATCTATTGAAGCTATACTTAATCGATTGGGTAAGAGAAAAATTTGTCCATAATCAATAGTGACATTTTTTTAATAAAGGGTAACATCTCTCTATCAAAGCTTTCCAAAATAGGCAATTATTGTATATTATTTTAATCATCCAATCGATTTGGATAAGGACACAATTGATTGGGTAATTAATTTTGTCATTGGATCTTTTCCTTATTCGTATCAACCTTTGGCCTATAAATAGAGTGCTCTCCCTTCACTTTTTAGTATCTATAAATGTGAGCTACCCCACTCTCCTCAATCTCTCTAAAATATTTTTCTATTTTCTCTGACATTAATTTAGCCATAGCACTTTGAGAAAATCCTTGAGTTTAACTGAGGAAACCTATTCTGGAAAGGGTAAATTTGTAAATTCATATATAAGCTAAATGGAGCTAAATAGAAAGCTCTAAGCTAAACAATACCCAAATGATTGAGGTAGAAGCATTTTCATAAATATTATTAATTGTTACACTCAGACACAAAAAGCACGAGAAACATTACAAGAAACAAAATAATACAAAGGAAAAGAAAGATCAGGTCAAAGCTTACAAAACTGAGGTACCATGATAATCCTCTTGAGCCACCCCACGTGCAGCCTAAAACGGGTCCAACGTCTCATCCAAAATTATGGCATCAAAGTAGAGCTTCCTCGCCTGTTCTACATCTCCATTACGGACCCTGAGCATAACCTTCATAATCCGCTGAAGGGAATCACAGAGCGCCTGCCTCAGATCAACCACCTCATCTTGAAGAGCTTTCAAGGTCTCAACATGAACCTTAGATTCCAGAAAAGAGCTTTATAATTCTCGTCCACCTGGAAAATTTATTTCTAAATAATATCAGAAGCATTCTTATACCGTTTCTCTATCTCTTTAAGGGCATCTTCCAGCTTAGTCACCCGAGCATCCAGAGTGGAAGGACAACCATGGATTTTTACCTCCTCTTGTAAAGAGTTGGCAATTTTAACCTTCTCCTGCAGCGCAATAAGTTTTTCTTAAAGTGTAAAGCACCCCAGCTCCATAGTTTCACATTTCCCTTTCTAAGTATCCTTTTTTTGGCGGGATTACTTGGAGCTACGATGTCTCCCTAACCAGAAGTTACATGGGAGAATATAGAAACAACCTTGAACATACTATGACTGAGCTCGAAGAAGAGTTCCATTTCCCCCCTCAGGGAGATTATGAATAAAGGATAAGTCTGACGTTGAAACAGTAGTAACATCCATCTCATGAGTGCAAAGAAACCAGGAAGAGAAGACGTCTGACATCCGCGTGAAGGGAGTTACCTCCATAAACACCATCCCTGGAGACACGGGTTCAATTTAGAAAACATTCATCCTGGTAGGAGTGTTGTTCTTCATTTTCAAAGGCGCTTCTTCCCATTCCTAGCAGGAGTAGAAACTTCATCAACTGAGGTAAGAGTTGGGGTCGGAGCAGAAATAATGGTTGTCAGAGGAGGCACCACGACCTAAGTACCTTGAGCATTTTTAAGGTTGTAAACAACTTCAGCTTATTCACCTTTTCCATGCTATCTGCAAAACACAATTATGCATGTCAGGAAAAAAAACACGAGGACTCCGCTCTCACCGAATATCTTTTTCCTCTCCTTCTAGATAACTTCACTCAAAATAACATGTGTCAATCTGTCTTTTTCTCCCCCTGGTAGGGGACACCTCACCAAGGTCAAACTCTTTGTCATAACCAAGCCCCTGAAACCAATATTATATTTCCTCTTTCATCGCCACTTTCTATGAAGAAAGGGAACCTGGATTTGTGTAGTAGGAATGAGCGTTCTGGTTAAAATGGACTTTGCACCAGTACTTTGGATATAAAATTTAGCATAAACGAGGATAATATGTCAAGAGGTGCAGAAAACAAGATGGGCCACAATTGTGATGGGCTTTACCAACAAGAAGCACCTTAGAAAATTGCCCCAGTCTAGAGTAAAAGATCAAACCAAGGACTGACATGATGAAAGCTAATGAGCCCCTGATTCCAAAATTTATCTTGAGAAGTGCGCCTTGGGTGGAATAGATCAAGGAATTACCCAAGAGAAGGTTTTCAAAATTTATGCTCGACGCACAACTAAAATACCCTCATGAACTCCTAAGACCCCGAATGAAGTTGGGAATGGGCAACTTTTAAATACTTCAAGACGACTATTTTAAAGTCTGAAAAAGGCAACTGCATCCCTATTCCTGTGAACATACATTCGTAGAACGGGATCACATAATCGTCAAAAGAGTTGTATATCTTATTTTTCGACTCTAGTAGAAAAGCCAATTGTTCCATAGAATAGTCGACAATAGTTCCAAACGCGTCTATAGGAGCCTAAGTGCTCATAACTGATGAAATGCCCACTATTTTTGTTTCTACCTAGTTGTACTCCACTACGCATGTCTGACCTCAAAGATCCAAGTAGGGTTTCACTTCAACATCACTTGGCTCATAGTTGTCTATTTTTAGGTGAAGCTAAATATAATCTCTAGCACATTCTCTTCTATGTCGATTGGTTTGAATCTCTTCCTCGAATAAGACGCGAGGGGACATAGGTACCTTGGCGCAATTAACCTCTCCGCCAACGTTCGATAAAAGATTTTTTAATGAACAAGAGAGATGAGAATCAGGGAATATTCCCATTATAGAGGCAGACGAAGTTTCGGCTTCAAAATCATTTAATAAATCAACATACTATCAATCATCTGGACTAAAAATGGAACATGTTGAAGATAAAAGTTATTTAATAGACTATTCTAATATAATTTATTTAAGGTATCTCTAAATGATTTAAAAATATGTTTTATAATCAATTTTATATAAAAATTAATTCAAAATTTGACTCTAATTATATAAAAAAGTTATAAAAAGGTAAGTATAACTTTAATACATGAGTTATTTATTTTAGTTTTAAAGTAATTGGTCAATTTTACTATTGTTTAAAATTAAATTAATCGTAGAAATTTTGAGCATATAAAATTTCCACAATATATATTTCTAAAATGTAGATTTAATTTTTAATTTAATATTTTAAGTTATCTTAAAAAAATATTTCAACTATAATTTGGTTTAGACCTTAAAATACTTAGATCGGCCCTAAGTTGGAAATAAAATACATACTTAGATTTCAAAAACATTAAGTGTTATGAAATAGTAGTAGATACTTTCATTCTTAATTTATGATGATGGAATAATAGTTATAAAAAAAAAAAAATTATAACAACTTGAATGAAAGAATAATTCAACTCTATAGAACACAAGTGCCAGATGTCATAGCATCCTATTCTTTTTCCTAGATTTCCCATTCCTTAAGACTTGGGATACTATTCACGTGTCTCATTCACACAACTCAATATTGTATCTGACTTAAGACACTAACTAACTATTTTGCATTATTGTACTCACTGTCCTTTTTATAACCATTTTGCATTATTGTACTCACTATCCTTTTTATAACCATTTTGCATTCTTGTATCTGAGTTAAAAACACTTCTATGTTGAGAGATGGCTTGCATGAAACTGGGATCTAAGTCTGAAATATTTTACGTATATGGCCAAAGTTGGTAAGTTTTTTTTCTCACTTGTGTTCTTTCACTTAACATGTTCTTTTCTCATCTTTTACTATGTTTGGTTCACAAAATATCGTGGTTTTATTGAAGTTTTAAAGGGCACTTTTGTCAGAATCACTTAGATTGATATTGAGACAGACTAAATCACAATCTTCCTCTTTACAATTTTGCAATTTGATCGATACATTAATTGTGTTATACACTGTCAAGGCGGTGTGAATCAATCGCAACACAATTTTGATTCAATTTTCACTGTAAAATAAAATTTTAGTTCGGAACTTTGTAGTTATAAGTTAATAAAGAATATTTCATGTGATTTGTATTTTCAACAGTGTAATTCTCTAACTTGGTACCGTAATGGCATTTTTGCGGTTGTAACGGCGACCCTAATAATGTTTCACTGATGTTCTGTCGTGGTTGTATCTCTGCAATATAATGGTAAATAACGGAGTCGACAGTTTCAATATGGTTATGCTGCGGTCAATATTTCATGTGATTTTCATATTCTAGTTTTAAAATTTGTGAAATGTAACCGTGTTTCGCGACGGTAACAACATTTAAATGGTGTTATGTCGTATGTGGTTTCTTCTATGTATTAAAACAGTGAAAGTGAATAACAGTATCTGACATTTTCCAAAATCATTTTGTTGCAGTTGTTTTTGCAATACCTAATAGTATTTTAAAACCTTTCATTCTTAATATTACACACATAATTCATTTGTTTACGAGTGAAGTATCATTGTTGACTTTTAAATCTTCATCTTTAGGCTCTGCTCAACTGGACTTCCAAGTGATGTCATTATTGAAATTGGTGAGGCATCATTCCATCTCCACAAGGTATGTATCTTTTCATTGCTCACATCACTTAAAGTTAAGCGCAAGTTTGGATTCACGCTGAATTTGCATGTTTTGTTAACCCCTTTCATGATGAATTACCAGTTTCCACTGATATCAAGAAGTAAGGAACTAGAACGTTTCATGAGAGATTTACCAAACGACAACGAGAAATCAATTTTGGAACTTCATGATCTACCAGGAGGAGCCAAAGCTTTTCTTCTTGTTGCTAGGTTCTGTTATGGTGTCAAAATGGAACTAACTCCATCCAATGTGGTTCCACTAAGATGTGCAGCTGAGTATCTACAAATGACTGAAGACTATGGAGAAGGAAACCTAATCATACAAACTGAAAAATTCCTTAACCACATTTTTGGTTATTGGACAGACACACTTAAAGCTCTCAAAACATGTGAAGGGGTTTTACCTTTAGCTGAAGAGCTTCACATAACATCAAGATGCATACATTCTCTTGTTTTGAAAGCTGCAGATCCAACTTTGGCTATTTTACCTCTTTCTGGTCCAAGTTCTGTTCAAAGTCCAGAGGATTCAGAAATGTGGAATGGAATATCCACAAGCCTTACATCAAAAGAATCTGGTGAAGATTGGTGGTTTGAGGATGTTTCTTCGCTTAGTTTACCTTTGTATAAGAGATTCATGCAAGCTGGTATTGCAAGACACATGAAACCGAGAAGAGTTTCTGGTTCACTTGTTTACTATGCGAAGAAAAACATACCTTCTTTGTCAAGTTATCAAAATGGAAACTCGGCAAAATTAAATCTTTCTGAAGCTGATCAAAGGAATCTGATTGAAGAAATAGTTGAGTTGCTTCCAAATGAAAAGGGTATAACACCAACAAAGTTTTTGCTCAAGTGTTTGAGAACAGCTATGGCTTTATACGCTAGCTCTTCTTGCTGTTCAAGTTTGGAAAAAAGAATTGGTTTTCAGTTAGACGAAGCTGATCTTGAAGATCTTTTGATTCCAAATATTGGTTACTCAATGGAGACAATTCATGATATTGATTGTGTTCAAAGAATGCTCGATCATTTCATGATTGTTGATCATGATGATGTTGATTCTACATCGAATAATGATATCGTTGAAGAAGAGAGACGCATAGTTGCAAACTGTCAACATCTTAATCCAATGACAAAAGTTGCTGAGTTGATGGATAGTTATTTAGCAGAAGTAGCACCTGATGTTAACTTGAAGTTGCCAAAATTTCAATCACTTGCTGCTGTTATTCCTGATTGTGCTAGGACTTTAGATGATGGTATTTATCGCGCAATCGATATATTCCTCAAGGTACAAAATTAAACATTTCATTTGGTAGAACTAATGTTTTTATCCTGTAAACACTTAATTAAGTTGTTAATCTAAATATGGTCTAAATGGTTAATTAAGCCGAGTTATTATGTTTGAAAGAAACTAATGGATAATTATGAATTTCAGAGCCATGCATGGATGACAGAATCTGAGAAGGAACAAATCTGCAGGCTGATGAATTGCCAGAAACTCTCATTGGAAGCAAGCACACACGCAGCTCAAAACGAGAGGCTACCACTTCGCGTTGTTGTCCAAGTTTTGTTCTTCGAACAACTCAAGCTCCGCACATCTGTTGCAGGTTGGTTCTTTGCTTCTGACACACTCGAAAACCCAACAAACCTGAGTGGAAACCTTGCTCTAATGAGAAGCGACGGAAACGGAAACAACATTACACATAATAACCCTGTCGTAGCTTTTGATCACATGAAAGACAGAGTTTCTGAGCTTGAGAAAGAGTGTTTGAGCATGAAACAAGATTTGGAGAAAATGATGAAGTCTAAGGGAAGCTGGAACATGCTCTTAAAGAAATTGGGGTGTAGATTAATTCCTAAGACTTCTCTTCCTAAGGTTTCAAAGCCATGCAGGAAGTCCAAAATAGCACCAGCTTCAGTAACTGACTTGGAAGAGAATGCTGTGGTAGTTACCTGATCAATGACTCAATGAAGTTGGAATTTTTTATATGATTTTTATCTTAAGAACTCTAAGTTCTATTTGGCTATTTTCTCTGAGTAATAATGTAACTAAATAATTAATAGTTGCCTGCTCTATGCTAATTGGATTATGTTATAATTCTGATGCAGTTCAAGTTTTTGTTTGGGGAAATAATTACTTGCTTCTGCCTCCGCTATTTACAAGTCAGATCGATTTTTTGGGACGGACTAAGGTTTTAAGCCTGCGCCCTGCACAACGTCCACTCTGCCCGCCCCATTTTTTGCGGTCCTAAACCGGACGGGCATGCCCATTTGCCATGCCTACAATCAAGTTTCTAAAAATTCACACACTTCACTCTAAAAATTCACACCCTTCACTCTAATAAGTTCCTAACTTAGGATTACCCTAAAAAATTATCCACATTCTCAAGTCCATATTAAACAAAACTGGTTCACGAATTCCTTCTACATAACAGAAAGAGCATCATAATAGTTAAAAGAACACAAATAAGAAAACTTCAACCAACATTCAAGTGCATAATTTTGAGCCAATGTTTGAGGTCTCTCTAACAAGATTATCCATACATTACATACTAAATCAACATTACAATCATCTAAACACCATTCACAACCATTCCATTGCATGTGTTCATTACCATAACCTAATCAAAACATAACTTACAACACTTGTTATAACTTATATCCAAAACAACTACAAATCTAGAACAAAAGAGTACCATATTAGATTAGTTTTACCAGCTAAAAACTTCAACATCCATACCTCCTTTCTAAGAGGATCTTTTTAATTCCTTCAAAATCAATCTACCTTGATCTACAGCCAACTCGGCCCGCTTCAGAAACAGTTCCGCCTCTTGAACTTTCAACTTCTTCCACCTTTTTCCCAACTCTTCCTTCTCAGATTCCCCAATCAACTCCATTCCCCTCTTGAGCACATTCACATCCATTCGCATTTCACCAAAACGAAACATTTCACTCAAACTAAGATGACCCATTTTATCATTGTCAACAACAGATGATAGCTCTTCCTGGATCGGTTTTTTCTTCATTGTCGATGATTTCTTAGCCTTGTTGGGTGGTTCTTCCGGGACAGGTTTCTTCGATGATGATGGTTTCTTAGCAGCATTTCCCTCCTTAGGTGGTTCTTCCAGCATCAGTTTCTCAGCAGCATTTTCCTTCTCAGGTGATTTTTCTTGTTGTTGTTGTTCAAGTTCATTCTCTTGACCCCAAAACTTCTTAGAAAGTTGAAATACTTCCTCCTCCCAAGGACATGAAAATTTGATATTTTCTTCGCTGTTTTCACGTAGCTTGTCGAACTTGATCCTCAAAGCCCGAATCTTCTCTCTGAGTTTCGTTCCTGTGGTTTTAATACTGAGCGCACTCTTCAACGAGTTGTGAAAATCAGCGAGGTGTTTGAGTGGGTCTTTTCCAGATTTGGACTTGAAATCCGAAAGGGATCTAAGAATGAGCAACACATCGTCGGGAGTGAAGCAGACTCTCTGGGACTTTTTGGAAGATTCGGCGGCGGCGGCGGCGGCGGCGGCGACAGCGACAGGTGTGGGCTTCTTTGAACGGTTAGGGCGGTGAGGGGGTGAAGTGGAAAGTGGTTGGATATGTAGGGGTTGAGATTGGGAAGAGAGTGAGGAGGGTTTAGAAGGAAGAGGGGGTGTTAGTGTTGGATCTGGAGTGGTTTTGTGTGCATGTGGGTTTTGAGATGAAGAATGACTGGAAGAGTGGGTTTTCTTGGCCATGGAGAAAGAGAGATTTGAGATGAGAGGTTGTGAGGGTTGACTTGAAGTTAGAACGATGTCTTTACTTTACATGTAACCGACATATGTGCAGCTTTTATGATTAAAATATTTTTCGGTATTCTATTCTATAATATTTTTATAAAATTCAAATAAACGTTATAAATTTAAATGACTGCATATCAAAAGTTTTTCAAAACTTAAATGACTCCCGTTGTTTTCTTCACTAAAAACTTTAGTCTTTATATAGCTTTGAATATGATAACTAAATAAACACTTGTGGACACTTGTGGGATGGATTGATTTTACACGGAATTGGATTTATGCCCAAAAAATTTCTTTTAAAGTTTATACTAAATAATTTCAAAATAATATAATTATAAAATTAAATAAATAAAACTATTCTATAAAAAAATGATAAATTATCCAAGTCATTAAAATGATTTACACAAATTACAAATATTTTGTAAAATAAAATATAAGTTAAATCATTTAAATATTCAAAAAATGTGATATGGATCTACGGTGTAACCGTTTTTCATTCAATAAGAAAAGTTAGTTAGATTTCTCTCTTCCGTCATCTTCTTCATCTTCAACTTTGTGTACTAATAATTGGTATCTAGAGCTCCGGTTTATATTCAGCAACGCGAAACATGAGTTTATGTGAGATATGTATGATTAATTTTAGTGAATTTGCACAAGATCGAAGAAGAACGGTGGAAACGATAACTTTAACATAAAGGTTTTAGTCTTTGATAGAAAGAATTGGAATCGATGGATGATTCAAATGTGTGTATTATTTGGTGCTCAATATATTCTTAATCTCGTCAATGACGGTTACACAACAGTTGCAACAAATGCAACTGAAGCACAAAGAAACACGCATAGAGAAACTAGGAAGAAGGATCAAAAGGCGTTGTTCTATATCCATCAATGTGTGGATACAAATGTGTTTGAGAAGATTCTTCACTTGAAACTTTATTTGGTTTTTATGGATATATTGTGCAAAACCAAATTTGAGGAAGAGATTATAAAATATAGATGAAATAAAAATAGGACATGCATGCTTACCCATTGTCTCTGATGCCTTTAAATCAATTTCGTGTATCTGATTCATTTGGTTCACCATTTACATCCTTAAGGTTCTTTGTCAATTTAGGGTTCTCTTCTTCAAGATGACTGAGCCTCTCAACATCACCCACGGTCATAGCAGATCTAATCTCTCCAGGTAAAGCTTGACTTCTAGATGGAGACCAAAGAGAATGTAAGCCTCGAAGTAGCTGGAAATTAAAAACATATCACATTATTAATAATAGTAAGAAATAAAATATAAACTCATTATCGTGCTTTCACGTAACAGTTTAAACTTTTGAAAGTTCAATTTGATAAAATTTTCAATTTGAACATATAGGATTGTACTCTTCAAGCACAAAGGGCCCTTGAGCGAGGGGAAATGTTACATATATAAGATTAAAAAAAACACACGTCCTCTCCAAATAACTTAAGATTCTTGAATAGTTGGTTCACGGAAAGAACCAAGTATTTAAAGTACAAGATTAAAAACAAAGCAACCATTTTGATTTAAAATACTAGAGGAAACGCGTGTGCACATCCACATCAAGGAAGTATGCATACTTTCAGAGAGGATTTAACATCCATGATACATGAAAATCCATTGGATTCAAAGGGGTTGAATCTAACTTTGAGATGTTCTCTAAATTCCCTTGAGCTTTTTTCATTCCACTCCTTTTAAGCACCCTCTCAAAGAATGTAACTGAGTGAAAAATTGACAACATAACTGGTGCTTCTGAGCACAACTGAACCAAATCCTGTGGACTAGACAAATATTTATCCTGCCACTCCAATTGTGTCCACTTCTGGCTCAAAGGTTCTAGTAGCCACTTTAAAACTTATTCTTGTTGTTGAATCCCGTGTCAAATTAAGAAATAATAAGTGAGATAATATTGAATAAAATTGTTAACAGAGTATATGACAAAAACAAATTATCAACAAAATTATCTATTCTCTTTTATGGTTACCCATCAGAAGAAGCCATAACAAGAAAAACTCACATGAAGAAACAATCTCATAATTATCATTGGCAACAAACAATTAGTAGAATTTTAGAAAAAGGAGGGGGTAGAAGTCTCACATTGTTTTCTTCACTAAAAACTTTAGTCTTTATATAGTTTTGAATATGATAACTAAATAAACACTTGTGGGCAATTATGGGATGGATTTATTTTACATGGAATTGGATTTATGTCCAAAAGAATTTCTTTTAAAGTTTATACTAAATAATTTCAAAATAATATAATTATAAAATTATTCTATAAAAAAATGATAAATGATCCAAGTCATTAAAATGATTTACATGAATTACAAATATTTTGTAAAATAAATTATAAGTTAAATCATTTAAATATTCAAAAAATGTGGCATGGATCTACAATGTAACTGTTTCTCATTCGATAAGAAAAGTTAGTTAGAATTCTCTCTTCCGTTATCTTCTTCATCTTCAACCTTGTGTACCAATAATTGGTATCTAGAGCTCCGGTTTAGATTCAACAACGGGAAACACGAGTATACGTGAGACATGTGTGATTAATTTTGGTTATGAAATTCGTAGTGAATTGAAGTTCGAAATTGAAACAGAATCACATTTCTTGATTCTGAGGGATGGGAAACACGAGCGTTGGTGAGTTTTTTTTTCTAGTGAATTTGCACAAGATCGAAGATTAATGGTGGAAGCGATAGCTTTAACACAAAACTTCTAGTCTTTGATAGAAAGAATTGGAATCGATGGATGATTCAGATGCATGTATTATTTGGTGCTCAATATATTCTTAATCTCGCCAATGACGATTACACAACAGTTGCAACAAATGCAACTGAAGCACAAAGAAACACGCATAGAGAAACTAGGAAAAAGGGTCAAAAGGCGTTGTTCTATATCCATTAGTGTGTGGATACGAATGCGTTTGAGAAGATTGTTGATTCAAAAACGGTGAAGGTTGTATGGGATACACTGATACAATGCTTCAACGGTGATGTATTAGTGAAGAAGATGAAACTTCACTCTTTATGTAAGCAGTATGAGTGTTTCAACATGAAGAACAATGAGAAGGTACCTGATTACATCTTCAGAGTGATTTTGATCACAAATGAGATGAAATCTTGTGGTGAAACTTGTAAGAGCACAGATTGTTTCTTAGTAATATCTCTATGTTTTGATGATAACTCTTATGAAATTTTGTATTAAAGAATTATATACTCTAAAATTTGTTCATGAATATTTGCTGCAGATAATTAAAGTATATATACATCCAAGAGCAAATTAATCTTAACATAGAACTATGGAAGGCTCTAAAGAGTCAGAATCATCTTATAGAAGAATCTGAAGCAGAAGCTACAGAAAAATCTGAAGCAGAAGCTGCAGAAGAATCTGAAGCAGAAGACTCTAATAAGATCTGAAGACTCTGAAGCATTAAAGAACTTTGTATGAGAGTTAAGAAGTACAGTTTTTCAGAAGACTCTGAGAGTACTACACGCTACATGTACTGAGGATCTGATTCATAAAAACTCTGCTCTGATAGAACTACACGCTAAAGCACACTTGTTGCCTTACTCTGATTCAGCAAAATCTGATGGGAATCCAAGACTCTGATCATACAAGATCTGATGGTTACCCTGCTGAAAAGAAATAATTATTGAAGAAGAATTCAAAGTAATATCCTTTGATTTAGCTCAACGACTCTTTCCTCTTTCATGCTTGACACTAGAACACAGACTAAAAGCATTTCTCTGTGCATTCTACTTCCAGGAAAAGTCATGTGATGTAAAGACAAAAAGGTTCAGGCCTTTTCAGTACACAACCTCCAATCTCAAGACTTTGTGGACTACTGTGCATATAAAAGCAAGTCTTCATCATCTTCTTCAAAGTGATCTACAACCAACGAATCTCAAATAGAAATTCTTACAAGTTCTCATAAAATATTCTTATTGCTGAGTTTATTCTTTTGTTCTTAACATTAAGTGAAATATCACTGTTGTGATAAAGCTTGTTAGAAGCATTCATACACTTGTATTGATCTTACATTTTATTGTAATAGTTCCTTAAGAAGATCCAGTTGGGATCAGAAGTTCTTGAGAAGACTTTGAACAGTTGTTCTTAGTGCTTACTATTGTAATCAGTTGATTAAATAGTGGATTAAGTCCTTGTTTGAGAAATGCAAATCACTCTAGGTAGGGTGGACTGGAGTAGTTGAGTTCAACGAACCATGATAAAAATACTTGTGTTTTTACTTCTAAGTTTTATCTTCATACTTATTCAACCCCCCCCCCCCCCTTCTAAGTATTTTCTCACCTTCAAAACTCTCTTTGAACAAGTAATCATTAAAAAGGTACTGAGATCACTTATTCCTCCATTTGATTACATTGTTGTAGCAATTGAACACTCTAAGAACCTCAGCACCATGAAAATTGAAGAGTTGTAGAGTAGTCTAGAGGCACAAGAGTTGCGTCTGACTGAGAGAAACTCTGGAAAAAGAGGTAGAGTCGGCTCTGAAGGCGGATTCTGATAAAAAGAATTAGAAGCAGTCTTGGTCAGAGGCCAACAATTGATCAGAGGACAAGAAGATATGTGGTGGTGGTTATCAGAAGTGAGAAGCTTTTAACTCTTATGAGAAGAAATATCAGAAGGGAATGAAGAAGTTTGACAAGAAGAAGGTTCAATACAACTGTTATAAGAAGTTTGGTCATTTTAATGATGATTGCTTGTCAAACAAGGAAAGGAAATCATAAGAAGCAAACATAGCCAGAGGAGAGCATGAGGATGAACCTGTGCTATTGATGGATTCTGAATTTGATGGTGGATATTTGATAGACTGGTGGTACATGGACATTGTCTGCTCAAATCACCAAACTAGAAACAAATAATGGCTGATTAATTTTGACTTTAGAAAGACAACAAAGATTAGATGTGCTGATGATAAGTATCTCAATGCTGAAGGAATTGGAAATGTCAAAGTGATAATGAAGAATGGAAAAATTTGTTCTTATCAAGGATGTTTGGTATATTCCTGGCATGAAGAGCAGTATGAAAAGTGTAGGTAAACTAGTTAAGAAAGGTTTCTTAGTTACTATGAAGGATAGTCTCTTGAAGTTGTATGATTCTGATCAGAAGATGATTATGCAATCTGAACAGAGAAGTAACAGAACATTCAAAGTGAATATGGAAATAAGTGAAACTAAATGCCTTTGTACAGAAGGTGATAAAGGTGACAGTGAGTTGTGACACAAGAGATTGGAGCATATAAACTTCAGAAGCTTAGGGAATCTGAGTTCTAAGAAGTTGGTACATGGAATTCCTAAGATTGTGAATCCTACAAAGTCATGTGATATATGCATGAAAGGAAAGCAACCTAGATTTTAATTTGCATCATAAGTGGCCCCAAGAGCAAACATATGTTTTTGGAGTAGTGCATTTTTATGTTTATGGACCATTTGAAGTACCTTCACTTGGAGGAAACAAATTTTTCGTGTTATTTGTGGATGAGTTCACAAGAATTACATAGGTAGCACTCATCAAATTTAACAATGAGGTATTTATGGAGTTTCATAAGTTCAAGGTGAAGACTGAAAAACAGGGTGGTCAAAATTTGAAAATTCTTAGAATTGGTGGTGGAGGTGAGTACAACTCATCAGAGTTCAGAAGGTTCTGTGAAGAGAATGGATAATGAGTGCTCCATATACTTCACAATACAATGGTCATGCCTCTGAAGGTGGTCCAACATCTTATATTGTTCTAACATCTAAAGAAGATTATGAACAAGTTCATAGACTATAAAGAATCAGACAAATACCAAGAAGATCTGCAGAGTTTGACATGTTGCAAGATACTAAGATAGACTCTGAAGAGGAAATCATTCAGTATGCCTTGCTGGTTGAATTTGAATCAATCAGTAATGAAGAAACTCTTAAGAAGAACGTGTGGCTGAAGGACATGAAAGAAGAACTTGAAGCTATAAAAAGAAACACGACTTGGTAGTTGACTGAACTTCCAAAGAACAAGAAAGTCATTAGTGTAAGATGGGTTTAAAAGGTGAAACTGAAGCCATATGAATCAATTGAAAAATACAAATAAAGGTTAGTAGCTAGAGTATTTCTACAAAAATATGGAGTAGATTACTTTGAAGTGTTTTCACTTATAGCTAGACGTGAAACTATTAGGCTAGTGATTGCTATAACTGCTAATAGAAAATTTCCTCTTATGTATTTAGATGTGAAATATGCATTTTTGAATGGCCATTTATAAGAGAAAGGTTAAGTGTCACAATCTCATGAATTTGTGAAAAAGAATCAGGAAGGGATGGTGTACAAGTTGCATAAAGCCTTGTATGGACTAAAACAAGCTCCTAGAGCTTGGAATTTGAAAATTGATTCGGTTTTCAAGCTTCAACCATTCAGAAAATGTGAGATGGAGTATGATGTTTATGTTTAGCATACATATGATAACAATATAATTCTGGTGTGTCACTATGTTGATGACATATTGCTAACAGATAGTTGTTCATATGAGATAGCTAAGTTCAAGAAGGTGTTGATGAATGAACATGAGATAACTGATCTAGGAAATATGACATATTTTATAGGGATGG